CATTTGTTTAAATTAAAAACTGTATCTACACTTCTTTACTTATATTTATATTTTTTATTTCAACGTTTTATTTTTATTATTAATATTAAATAATTACTAAGTAATTATGGTATAATTTATTTATAATCTTATAAAATAAATTGAATATAAAAAATCAATGTAATAAAAAGACTGAATTTATAATTTAAGTTAATAATTTAGTTAATAATTAATTTTGGAGCCCCATCAAAAAATTAGACCCGGGCCCCAAAATTCCTATGTTGGGCTCTAGATATGTTATGTCATCATGAACAATAATACCCCCCCGCCATCGCGAATAGGTTTATGTGATCGTAATCTTTCGCAGCTTACAATAATAATACGAGATTCCTGACTACGGCAAATCAGTTTATGTTTCCCCTTATCGCCAAAAACGTCGGCCCGCGGCGACGTGTGTCACGAACGTCTCTGCTCTCCGCTACCTAGTTTTTTTTTTGTTCGTTCCTTTCTTTCTTCCTGTCCAGACCTCGTCTCGAGACTTTGTCACAATATGGTCTTTCAATACAGTCATTTTGCTAAAAAACCCGTATTACACGGATTTACTTATTTTGCCATTAAGTAAGGTCGTGTACCTTTGCACATTTCCTGATGATGCCTCAAACGAACTGATGAAATGAGTCCCGATCTGTTCCGCTGGGCGGACATCTTTGGGCGAGTTGAATGGTAATATACATGCAATTTAATAATTGGCCGATAGTTAGTTAAGTAGGTTCCTCGTTTAAATATTTTGTCTAAAATGTTTTTTCTCGTGTGTTAAATTCTTCCGTTATACCTACGGAGATCAACCTGCGTCTATTAGGTTTGTGGGTCCGTATCATTGTAATAATCTTCGCGTTCCACATCCTATGTGCAATAGGCTAAATCCCCCCCCGCATTTGTTTTATTTTTTTTATTCTGTTTTAAGCACTAAGCTTTGCAATCACGTGTGTGTGTGTATCTAAAAAAGAATCTATATTACATCGATCGATTTCCTCACCTCGTGGTCCGTATTCGGACGCACCCCGCAGGTTAACACGTAAGGCCACCACCACCACGGACCCATCAACTTGGAATAAGAGCGTTCAGCTACCCTTCCCGGTTATAATATGTGTGCCCTGGTAACCTCACATTCTTGCTGGGGTCTCCCAAATATATACTTCACGAAAATTCCACTTGGAGGTCCGTTTCAATATACATGGGTAGATAGACCCATGAAGAAAAAAGTATTTTTCCTGTGGACCCCTATCTATGTTTATGTCGGATGCCCCCTTGGGTCTACACATTTTTTTTCGTATAATATTCACCAAATAGGAATATTTAAAACTATAAATTATTATTATTTAAGATTGCTATTTTTAGTATTATTATAACAGGTCAATAATTTTCTTGCGGATTTTTAACATGAAACCTTATAAATATTAATAATAGTATTTTAAATTGTTAAGGTAGGTTTACACGAGACGTAATCCACGATCGTAGTCTTTAGGAGCGTGGCCACGGTTTGTGTAAACAGACAATTTGTACTTCACGATCGTGGTATTATCGTCCACGAACATGTCACGAGCCAGTCTCGTGCAATATCAAACCATGTTAGATATTTCAGTCGTGAAAGATCAATCGTAGTGTACTGTTTGTCTGATTATGTATATCATTTTATAACGTTTTAACTAAAAATACTTGTAATAACTTAAATTATTTTACTAAATTGAAAGTTATTTAATTATAATACATTTATTATTTTATTATTATATCAAAAACATGAGTGTAAATAAAAACGTTATGAAAATGAATGACGAATAAACAATGCATTTTATAGACTATTATGAAAAAGAAGAAGTTTTATGGAACACTAAATTACAATCTTACAGAAATAGAGATGCTAGAGGCGAAGCTATGAAAAGAATAGTATTAGGCATGAATATTGAAGGTTTGTTATTTTTATTTGATTATGTCTGTATTTACTTGATACATCTAGTTCAACCAAAGAAAATAATAATTTCATTTTTAAGGTTTAAGACCTGATCACGTTATAAGTAAATTTAAAAATTTAAAAAGTTCATATTGCCAAGAACTGAAAAAAATTGCAACTAGTAAAAAATCTGGAACATCTTTAGAAGATGTTTATGTACCACATGTAGTTTGGTGTACCAAAATTAACTCATTTTTAAAACCATATATGACAATGAGGGATACATGCTCAAATTATGTAAGTATAATATTAAAATGTTTATTTCAATAATTAATTACAAAAATCAAATGTGTTGACTTAATTAATTTGCATTTCCAAGAAACAGCTCCTTCCCCGTTGAAATATGCACAATAGTCATCTCTAATTTTCTTAGCATTTGTACATGCATTTCTGTAATTTGTTGGTTGAAAATCTACGATGCAACTTTAATTTTGTCTCCACGATCCATTTATGATTTCATAGTTATAATCTTCGTGATCAATAAGATCCGGTGGTAAATAGGCTTGACTTGTTTTTTGTAACCAATTATGTATTGCACAAGCGAGAAAAAATGTATCGACTTTATGAGGTATAAATGGGATTGGTCTTTCGAAAATTCTAAATTTGCTCACAAGTATACCAAAAGCATTCTCTGATATTCTTCTAGTCCTAGATAATCTAAAGTTGAAAATTGCTTGTTCTCTTGTTAAATTTCTTCTGTTGTACGACCTCATCAAATACTTCTTGAGTGGAAAAGCATCATCAGCTACAAAAATAACATCGTATTTAGAGTATTGTTTNTTAATAGTAATAATACTGTACTGGTGTTTATAGTTCTAAAACTCTGATCCACGTATAGGTGGTGCTTTAATGAGGATGTGTTTCCCGTCCATTGCTTCAATGCATCTCGGAAAATTTTATCTCTTTTGAAAACCTTTTTCTATTTCATCCCATTCATTTTTTTGTTTTCGGCACATAAAAAATTAAAATTGTAAAATATTCAATTTTCAGGTGATATCAAATTAAAACAAAAGCTGAAGAATACCATATAGAATTACAACACCTAATAAAAACAAAACCCCCTAGTTTCCCTCCGTGGAAAACTTACTTTGACATAAATCTAGAAATTTCCGAATTCAAAAAAGAAAACACCAGTCCTATTATGTTCAGAAACGTCTTTCAAAACACATTACAAAAATACCCTAACTACAAACATATCTACACTGATGCATTTAAAACAGACCAAAAAGTTGGAATATCTATAATAACAGAAAACTCCTCCTCGTCCTACAAACTTCCCCCTGTATGTTCTATTTACATAGCCGAAGCATTAGCCATATTTAAAGCTCTACAAAATATAATCACAAATAAAGAAACGTCGAACAAGAAATATTTAATTCTAAGTGACTCTCTCTCTCAGCAGCTTATCTGGCATAAATAACCTTACAAATCCATCAGATATACCCAAACTTATTCACGAAAAAACCTATAAAATAAATCAAAAAGGAATAGAAATATCCTTCCAATGGATACCTGGACACTGTGGAATTGATGGCAATGAATTAGCAGATCAAGAAGCATCCAAAGCAGCCTCATCTTCCGACACCCATATTCTAAATTTTAGTACCTATACAGATTTAAAAAAACTTACACAGATGATTCTACTTCATAAATGGCAAAAACGCTGGTCAAAACAAAACACCAAATTAAACGCAATAAAAAACAATATCCAAGTTTGGAAAAACCCCGGCTTAAATAGGAAAGATGAAACCATTATTAATCATCTTCGAATTGGACATACCTTCGTAACACACAACCACCTCATGGCTTGAAAAGAACCCCCCATATGTGAAACATGCGGAGTGGAGTGCACCGTCGAACATATAATCATTGGTTGTCTCAAACACGCAGACTCAAGATCCAAATACTCCATTCCTTACCAACTTAGTAAAGCTCTACAACCAGACCTCCAATCAAATACCAACATAGTCAACTTTTTAAAGGATACCAAACTGTACAACCTAATGTAAGAATTTTTATACAAACTGTAATATATTTAATTAATTTAAATTAATGTACTATTATAACTAATGGCCTCGTAGCCGATGTTTCTTTTTGTTGCATAAAAAAAGAAAAAAAAAATTAAAACAAAAGTAATGATAAAGAAATACTGACTAAGAAAATCAAGCTATGTATGACTTAAATGATAGTTCTCGAGTAGAGAACTAATCTCGAGTATTAATGAACTAGAATCAAATTTAACAGGACCTGATATAAGTATTAATGCAAAAAATACTAATAATACAACTATTAAAAGAAAACTTTTTAAAAGTCCACAAAAAAGAGATTGGAATTTGAAAAAAAGAAAATTTGAGACATTCAAGTCAAGTTGTAGTGAGACTGACACTGTGTTAGCTGCAGTTAAACAATTAGATAGCATAGTTGAAAGAGCTCAAAAGTTGGCTCAAAATAGTAAAAGTGAAGACAGTTTTGATCAATTTGGAAAATACATTGTATCAGTATTAAGAGACTATCACTTAAAAAATCATGCTTGTTACAACAAAAGATGACCAACATGATTATGAATGAAATTATAGAAAATGATAACTAAAATGAAATTCATGAACTACAAAGATTTCCTATCATTTAAACTAGTACAGATACAGGTGATTTCGGATCTCCAGCTATGTTTGATGAACTGTTATCAGAAACCGAAGATTATATGCTTACAGACTTAACAAATACACAACTATAAATTGTTTTAAATATTCCTATTTATATTAATTAGTAACTAACAGAAAGGATTCGTTTTTTTATTTTTTTTTTTCAATATGAGTTAAAATTTATTTTTATTTTTGTTAATTTGTTAATTTGTCAATTTAAGTACCTATTTATGTTAAAAGTTTAAAATATTAAATCTAAAAATATAAATAATAAAGATATAAATAATCGAATAGTCATTTATAAGTTTGAAATATGAAATGTATTTTCAATCCAAATATTTATATTTTATACGTATTATACCGATTAGTGTGGCGATTTCCGATACCGGAAATTACTAATGATTAAAATAAATAATAATACAATACATGGACAGTCGCATTCTTAATTTAGTACCCAAGACTTAAATCTTAGAATAACAACAAAGGAAAGTAAACATTACAATTCATTACAAACCCGAAATAGAAGTAGGTAAATTTAGACACTAGAGTAGGTACTAGATTATTATCTATATACATATAGGAGACGGCCCCTATTCACTCATCAACGCCCAGACCAAACCGCTAGGTCTAGAGATTTGAAATTTTGTACAGAGTTTCCTTAAGCAATGTAAGGGCGCACTAAGAAAGGATTTTTCAAAATTCGAACTCTAAGGAGGTAAAAGGGGGTTTTTTTTAAAGTTAAATGTATTTTTTTCCAACTGTTAATCGCTGTTCAGTGTATTGATAGTGCTAATAGTACGTGGAATTCACAATTTAATAAAAACAATTAATTATATATAGCCTATAGTTGAAGTTATCGGCGACCCGCGATTGCAACACACAATAGGTACGGGCGGTAGACGGTCAAAGTACAAAGATAACGCGAAATGATGAATACGTGCTGCCTACAACTCCGTCGGCCCTACTCACCCCCCACCATTGACCGATCAGCCACCGTTGTCATCGTTGTCGCCGCTGTCGTCTGACGTATTTCACTTCCATTGCATCTTGCGGCTATTAAACACGTATTTATTCGAATACGTTTTGAAAACTGTTTGATCGACGTGAGCTTCACAGATTATTAACGCCTCTTAACACATTGGAGTTTGCTTAGTTATTTTCGTGCGGACTGTTGTGTTTATAAAACGAAATTTTTTTTTAAAATCTTAAAAGGTGTTGTGGACTGTGGTTAGTTTACAACTTTGTTGCTTAATCATTTGCAACAGCGATTGACCTGTAAACGCGCAATTGTCGCAAACGCCTTGAAAACCGTTTGGTCTACGTCGGCTTTTTAGCACATAAAATTCGGTTTGTTATTTTCGTGGGGTAGGTACATGAATTACAAACCGCGTACGTCTGTATAAAACGGCGTTCAAAAGTAAATTTTGATTAATATACACGAAATACAAACCGCGTGAGTTTATATAAATTGGCGTTAACTGAATTGATCACTTAATTATAAAACTTTTTTCATTAAAAATCGAGTTTTTAAACGTGAATGGGGAAATGGTATCTCACATCGTTGTACCTATTACAGGAGATAGTGCCTGTTTATTTAATTCGCTCTCCTATCTTATGTACGGAACTGAGCAAATGGCCAGAGAAATACGCAAGCTTATTGTGAGCCACGTAACAAAAAATTGGACGGAGTTTTCTATCATGTCTCACGACAACAATGGGGACAACTATATGAGTTCCGCTGAGTATTTTGCTGACATGTCTCAATTATATACTTATGTTGGTTTATGTGAATTGGTGGCCGCTGGACAATTGTTCCACTACGTTTTTGAAGTTTACCGCAATAATCAGCTCTATGAGCGTTTTGGTATTGAAGGTTACCCTGTGTTGAGGATGCGTTTTACGCAAAATCTCTCTAGGGGCCATTTTGATGTCTACCTGCCTAATGAGTCAGAAATATTGATCCCTCAGAGAGACTCCACATTACAGCAATCACCTTTCTCTTTATCCCTGAAGAAGGGTAGAAAACGCCGTGCCAGATACACTGGCAATATAAGAAAAAAACAACTT